CATCCCTAACCCAAGCCCTAAACCCTATGCAAGCAGTGGGACACTCCCCAGGCCTGGGGCCAGAGGCTGTGCTCCACCTGGACATGTAGCTTCTTCAGCTAGATGCTACTTAAAATGTGCTAAAGATGTAGGGTTTAGGGTTTAGGGAAGGATATACTGATATACCATAGTGGCCTATTTATTCAGGATGGGGTTTTGAGGTAGGTTCTGCCATACCTTGTTCCCTAAACCCTGGACCCTAAACCCTAAACCGTGTTATGCTTAAAGATTAGCTGGGCGCCCCCAACTTGCAATAGTGGTGTATGAAAATGAGAGGACCCAAATATCATCACCATTGTCCCTCATCGTCACTATTTCTGGGTGAGGGGCCCACCTAAGCTATACACCCTAAACTCCTACATCCTAAACCCCTAAAACTCCTAAACCCTAAACCTCAAGTATGTAGCCTAGAGGGACTACGGAAGGGCTTAATGTTTGAAGTTACTCTGGCTTCTGCATTAAACTGGGTTGCTGCTAAGGAACTTCATTCAAGTTTCTATACTGCGGAAACCATGTGAACTACTATATATATGTATACCCATTATGGTGACCTTAAAACCTAAACCCTATATACCCTACCTATACCCTATACGTACCCTTTCTATATATCTATACACATTATGGCAACCTAATTTAAGTTCCTTAACGGCAACCCTCAACCCTAAACCCTAAAGCCTAAACCGTGAATAGTGGTTTCCAGCTTATTCTCCATTATCCCTATATAATCCCAAAATAACCCTAACATTACCCAAGACCTTTAACAACAGCAACCCAGTAAACTACGAGGTTCTGGCTTGCAGGCCATGGTTTAAAGTGTAGTGGGTCATGTGTTTGGCGCTTTCTGGTTTAGGGTTTTTGGCTTTGGGATTTTGAGTTTAGGGCTTCGGGCTTAGAGTTGAGGATTTCCAGTCTAGGTGTTGGGCTTTAGGATTTTGAGTTTAGGGCTTAGGCTTTAGGATTCTGCGTTTAGGTTCGGGTTTTTAGGATTTTGGGTGTAGGGTTTAGACTTTAGGATTTTTAGGTTAGGGTTTAGATTTTAGGATGTTGGGTTTAGGGCTTAGACTTTAGGATTTTGAGTTTAGGGTTTAGAGTATAGAGCTCAGGGCTTAGGATGTGGGGTAAAGGGTTTAGAGTGTTACAGTATGGTTCATGGTTCAGGCTTGATGGAAGTTCATCCACATCAGGGTTTCCTTGCTGGCTCTGGAGTGGATTTTTGGTTTACCCTCAAACTCTCAACCCGGATTTTCAATTCCCATGAAGGCCCGTCATCTACAGTCTCCCCTGACCGGTGATACCATGGATGGAGAAAGTCTTGCACCACTCTACGATCTTGATACCCTGTGATCTGCAACATGTATACATGTACGTATAAACATGTGTATATTTATATATGTAAAGTGTTTGGCTGGATGCTCTGTGTGTATGGGACCAGCAGTAAGCCCGTCCTGTTTGTGTTCGCAAGATCAAAGAACAGTTGAACTCACCATGAAACTTTGAGTTGTATTCGGCGTGGCAGCGGTACCTGGACCCTTGAAGTAGGTAAACAATTAGTAAATACTGACGCCAACCCCCAAAAAATCGGAGCTATGATTGCGCATGCTTTTGGGATTATGTTGACAGGACCTGGGGTTGATCGCACCGTGTCAAAGGCATCTGCCATGATTGCCAGAAACCATACTTGCACTTGAACAAGGCCAGCGAAGGAACACCCTGTAAGCGAAAGCCGAACCCTAAACCCTAAGCCCTCTGGTTTTGGAGCTTTGGGATCAAAAAACCTTGCACACGCAACCCTGATAGGTCAGGCGCATCCTTATCGCAAGAGACTGAGAAATACCGACACTAGGGATACACAGGTAGTAGAACGGGGATGATGGGGCGTCTATTCGGGAATGCATAAGGACGTCTTGGGGAAAATGCAGAGAATATGGAAGGAATAGCCTCCTGTGCAAGTTTCTTTTGTTCCCCAACCCGGCCGTTTTTTCCCTCCATGAGGCAAAGGCTCGCTCCTCCCTGGAGGCCAAAATACCCAGATTATGAGGTTTTGGGGGCCTAAATGCTACAATCTGAATGGTTTTCGGTACCCTAGACCCTAAAACCCCGAACTCTAAATCCTAAACCCTAAACTGCAACCCCTAAACCCTGAACCCTAACCCCCTACTATTTGGGTACTTGGACCCCTCTGGGCATGGCAGACAAGGTGCTGAATCGGAGTTCATGGCCTCGGTAGCGAAATCATCCGTTCGGGGTTTATAGGGGCTAGGGGCTAAGGGGTTTAGGGTTTAGAGTTTAGGGGTTATGAGTAAGGGTTGAGGGTTTAGGGGGGTTTATAGGGGTTAGGGGCTTAGGGGTTTAGGGTTTAGAGTCTAGGGGTTTAGGAGTCAGGGTTTAGGGTTTAAACCGCTTAAACAGATGATTGCGCAATTGAATCGAGATCCTTGTCCTCCCAAATAAATTATATGGCGATGATGTAGGATAATATCTCCAATGATGGAGAATCAAATGGAAAAGAACATGGAAATTAAATGGAAACTGGGATTAGGTGAAATCCTGGAACTCCAAAACACATGTAAGTTGAATCCTGGCCGGGGTTTTAGGGCTGGGACCATGATTCTACACACGCTGCAGCAAGCCGCTACTACTCGTTTCCCTACTCCTACTCCTACTTCTACTGCTAGTAGTACCGATGATGATGCAAGCCTGTGAGCAAACACATATCTTCCTCATATCTCACGAGGCCCATGTATGCAGTAATTAGGCATCCTTACCAGCACATGGTCTAAGTTTGACCTGCACGCAATTAAACCCTACGCACTTGCGTCTCAAAAGGTGATATTTTCGCTTGCGGGCAGCTCAAAACCAAGAGGCTCACCTCGAAAAGCTCGAACATGTGTTGCTTTAAGGGTCAAAGGACCCAGATAACAGGGTCCGTTTAAAGGGGTTGTAGGGGGATATATAGGGTTTAGGGTATAGGGTGCAAGGGCCCGAGTAATAGGGCTTTAGGGCCTAAATACATGGTGTTTGGGCCCTGAAAACCTATTATTTGGGTCCTTGGATCCTAGGGAACCCCAAACATGGACGTAATCAAGGGGGATACTAGGACTTCGGACTATAGCTCATGCTAGGGATGTACAAATTGGGTTAGAGTATGGTATTCAGGGCTTCCAAGAATCAATGGTCCCTTTTGAGGAGGCGCCTGCACGAAGGATTAGGGTATGTTATATATATATATATCCCTGTATGCAGCATTCAGGCGGCGCTCTCCAATCCTTGTGTGATGCCGCAAAGCATATCACCCCCTAATAACTCTCAGAATTCCGTGCTATTTCTCATTCCTTGAAAGTGAAGGGAGATCAACGCAAGCTGTCTACCTGACAGCAGCCTTGATTACATACCCCAATAACAGTCCCCTGTATTATAATGCCATATATAACGCCCTTCAAGGAGTTTAGAAGTTTAGACTATATCCCTATAGCTAAAGCTCTGTACAACCGCAATATCCGCTTCAACGAGACTACAATTACGAACACATATCTTTTACATCGGGAATCTGCCTGAACTACTGCTAAATGATCCCCCACCCCCAATCAGAACCATGGATATGTAAAACCTTAATCCAAAACTCCAGAAGCCCTAAAACAGGCTTAGGAGTAAGGCCCTAAAGCCCTTAAACAAAAGTCTAAACCTTAAACTTGCACCCTCAGTGCCCCTACCCGCCTTCATGTCTGAGCACCGGGCCCACGTCACAAAGATCGGATCCTCTGCCAGTTGGATCCCGTACCTCAACCAGCTAACGAGTCTTGGCATTCGGGCTTGACGCTTAGGGCTTGGGCGGTAGGGCATACTACAGTATATTATACTATAATATACTATACTATATATAGTAGAATATCATATATTATAATAGTATACTCGTATACATATGTAGATATAATAGTTGAGGCCTTAGGTTTCGAGCCTTAAGGTTTGGAGCTTGGCCTCGGGGATTTAGATTGAAGCTTTCCAAATTCGGGATCAGGCTGGGCTTCACGGCTTCGGACTCAAAGCGACAAGCCTTCTCCCCACCAACATCGGCCATCACAAAGACCCATGTCAAAAGGACGGGCAATCTAAAATGAGGCCCTTTGACGGGTTTCCATGTTAGTCTGGGAATGTAATGTGTTTCATCCCATGCTTCATGGCAAATCAAGGATCTGGGGATGAAGGTTCAGGGGTTTACCTAGACCCTGCAATGTAGTACCTTTTTTGGTAGTCCTAATAAGAAACCAAAGAAACCATACCAAACCCAAAAAGGAACTACATTGGAGGGTCTAGGTAGACACTGCATCCGGTTTAGGGTCTAGCATGTGTGTGGTTGTCAAAATTATGGTCCCTTTTTGGGTACCCTAAACCCTAAACCCTAATAGGGACCCCAAAAGGGACCATAATTTTGACAATCATTCATGTGGGGGTTGGGCTTCGGAGTTCGGATTCACGTGCTCTTTTGGGACATCTTTTCGAGACAGCCAAAAGTCATTACGGCTACAGTCTGGGTTGCTGTTAAGGAACTTAAATTAAGTTACAATATTGGGGAACCCGATTATTTAGTATATATACCCATTATGGTAACTTAATTTAGGTTCCTTAACAGCAACCCAGCAGTGGGTGCCATCATTCATGTACAGTCAGAGGGTCCTGTAAGGGTAGCATTCATGGCTTTCAGTTCCTAGACGCTCAGCTCCAAACCCTCAACCCTGGACTCCAAATCTAACCTGGACTGCCCAAGTATGTTCCACAGAGCCGAAACAGTACAAACACCTCAAATACCCTTGGTTCCACCTATTCAATTTGTCATATACGTATCCAAAACCTGCAGTATGACTACACTGCCCAAATGCCAAGTACTGAATATTGGGTACTTGAATCCTTTTTAGGGTACGGGCTACATATCCCCCGTTTAAGGATACTTGGAACCCTGGATATGGGCTATACCAGGGTTCGTAGCACTCAGTAGCAACTAATAACATCTATAATCCTACAGTACATTTCATAAGCTCATAAGCCCGAATTGGCCTTAAAGAGGTTACCACAAGCAGAACTGCGCACATGGGTGGTTGACAAAATCATGGTCCCTTTTTGGGTACAGGGATCCAAAAAAGGGACCGTAATTTTGACAACCACCCATATAGCATCTCATAACCCAACTTGCTCGCTAAGTTCTATGGTGATTCCATGGTCACCCATGTCAGCTATAGTCTAAACTCCTGGCATCCCCTCAATAAACCCCTTTGAAGGTCCCCTATATATTCCCCTATATAATCTGCCTTTCAGGAATCTAGACTACAGTTCGTGCAACAAGAGAGTCAGCTCTTCGCACTGCGAATCTGACTCCCTGGGATCCTGAAAGGCTCTTGTGCCTTTGAATCCCTTGTGGTGGATAATAGGGAATAGGGACCATATACATATATATATATATACATATATTTGTGTATGTATATATATATATATCAACAGAGAAGGTTTAGGGTGGTTTAAGGTAGGGAAGAAGGGAACGTATTTCATGGGGATTACGTAAGGACTTTATTCCCTTCTTCCCTACTTACCACCAGTAAGAGAAAGCCTTCTTAAACCTTCCAAGTCACTTTGCCGCCGACATTGTTGCCGCCTGGACAAGATCCCGAATCCAAAAGTTGAACTGGGGAGGAGTTTGCCTAAGCCGAGAAATCCAAAAAGTATGAGCACTGAGTACTTTTTGACGGGTTTTCTGGATTCAGGGCTGATTTCACCTACTTTTTGTGAACCAGGTATTGTTTATAGTGTTATAAAGCCTTGCACATGGGTCGAGAAATACACAGGAGACACTAGAGTTTTTTCCATGTAAACCCTCTCCACCCCGGCCAAAGGCAGGCCTTGCATGTGGGGATTTCAAGAAATCCTGATCCTCCGGCGGGTCCGCAGGCAGGCGTTCAGGGTGCAGTGTCTATACCTATGGTAACCTAGACCTTTAATAAAAGGTAATGATACCAACGTATTAAGTATAAAACCCTGTATTCTAGATGCATTGGTTACTCTAGGCAGGGTTTGCTTCATCAGCATACCCTGAAGCCGAAACCCTCCACACTCTCCCTGTGCAAACTGCACAGCTTCAGTCTCGGGTTCTGTCAATGTGTCATCCCCCTTGAGTAGATAGAATATGGGGTATATGGGGTCTTATTCTAATAAACCCAAGGCCATATTCTATCTACTTAAGGGTTCCTATACCCTAAGCCCTGAAACCTCAACCCTATATCTTATCTACTTAAGGGGTGCTAAACCCTAAACCCTATATTCTAGCTACTTACGGGGGACTATAGCTATGTACCGGTGCCCTGAGAGGGGCCAAGCGCATGATGATGAAACGAGGCTTCCAGGGGTGAGGAATTATACAAGGAACCGCCTCACGGATTCCTGATGGCTACCAAGAACATCGTTTTTCATATTTATTTTGGGGTTGCTGATGTTTGAGCCACATATGAGCCATAGTCTTTAAAAAAACCTAGTTTCGCCCTTAATGACCCCTATAATCTCCTATATCTCCCCTCTTCAAACAATTTAGATTATGGCTCATGTTAGGGTGCGGATGGTTATACAACAAACCACGGGTGACGCACGAGGGCTCCCCATTATTTATTCACTACAAGCACCCCTGGTAAAAAGAAACCCGAGCGAGCAATCAGGTACGCAAGCACGCAATCAAGCAAGCGGCCAAAGAACACAAACTGACGTACGGACGAACAAAACAAATGCAAGAACGGCCACAAAACAGAACCGACTAAATCTGCACTGTGGTGCACTGCACCCAACCACTAGATCATCCCATCTTAACCTTGGCATCTAACATGCATGATATGTAGACTCCTTTCGTTTAGTAGCATACCATCAAAGCAGGCCCTCAGCGGCCCTTTTTGAATCCGAACTTTTGCGCCCAATACAGCGCCGCAGTTGGAGTGCTAAGGTGCGGGTGCAAGTGCCCAATGACCCAAAATTTTTCCAGTAACCCGAAGCAAAGACTATAAGTATTTAGTAATGTGTTATAGTATTAGCTATAGTACATTCTAGTATATTATGGTACCGCCACAAGACCTGTACTATAGTTATTTGGGGATTAGGGGTTAAGGTTTAGGGATTAGGGTTCAGGGCTTAAGGGATTAGGGTTTAGGGATTAGGGTTTAGGGATTAGGGTTTAAGAGTTTAGGGATTATATTAGGGTTTAGGGTTTGAGGGTTTAGGGATTAGGGTTGCGGATTACACACTACAGTTATTACTACACAAAGCACAAGTACTTAACTATTGGGAACCTTGACCACCAGGGCATACTTTCCTACAAGAGCCTTGCGGTAGTACTCCAAGTCTGGGGTTCCAAAGATCCAGTCGAAGATGGAATCCTGACAAATGTCAGAGCTTCTCAACAGTTGACCGCTATCCAAGCCTGGTTCCAAAAACTTACGGGCCTCTTTGCAAGTGGTATCTATAGCAAGGAGGACGGCTAAATCGGGTACATAACCCTAAACCCTAAACACTAAACCGCGTTGTCCAGCTGCCCAATATGGGATACGCTCAGGCATGAAGGACTTATATAGGAATCCATTTGAACTCAAAGCATTTAGGGTTAAGGGTTTTATTGTACGAATAGTTGGACCCTTTGGGTATGGGTTACCTTTGATCGTGGGATTTTCCAGGTAGCCCCCTCCTCATACCGCCCTTGTAGTCCCCTAATATTTCCCTAGGGCTCCCCCAATTTCGCGAAGCCACCACGTAGGTTTTGGGCATGGAGTGTTGAAGGTTTGGGGTTCCGGGTTTAGGGTTTAGTTTATATAGGGTTTACGTGGAGCCTAAAAGTAGGTAAACTAATCGCCCAGAACCCCCCCAAAACAGCCCAAAAGGCTGTTATTCCACATACTTATGGGGTCTGGGTCTGCAATGAACCCAAGGCCAATCATCGAAGAAACAATCTTGAGCTACCTAGGAACCTTAAACTATTGTGGTTACTCTGGATATAGGCAACAGTAGGTTGCCAATTTTGGAGCTTGGGGTACCCAACACCCCCTTTATCAACTATAGCTCCTACTACTTAACTGTCAAACCCTTTGAGCCCGAGGAAACGCACTGCATTTGAAGTCTTGTGACAACACCCTGAAACAAAGCTGGCCAGATATTCAGGTTCAGGCTTTGGGCTTTAGCTGAGAATGGATCGCGCAATGAACCAGCACAGAAGACCTCAACACACCAGAATCTCAGCTACCCATTCTTTCAAATAACCAGATATCATTTTTTTTGGCCCAATGCACCTTTTTGTCTAGACCTCCCGAATACCCATGATATTGACCTAATTACATACTTTTTATTCTGCGGTTGAAGGGCGTTTATTCAGACTCTAAACCCTAAACTTCGAAGGTCTGGGTAGGGTTTGGATCCATCCTGGGGTTGCTAATGGGTTTGGCCATCTACTTATAAAGGGTTACAATACGGGTCCAAGTACCCAATAATTAGGTACCTGGGTTTAGGAGTAGTAGTAGTAGTAGTAGTAGTAGTAGCCATCGGGTGACTT